GAGGTTAGAAAGGGCATTGGTAACAGTTGCACTTTTTCAAAACCAAGGTCGTCTGCAAGAAGGCACTGTCCTTGCCCTTAACAAAATAGGGTGTCCATGATATAAATCTTTTTTGCAATCTTTCTTCGATCATTCATCTTAGCTCCTAGTTCTTTATCCTCTAGGAAGTAGAGAAGTGATCGAGGTATACTAACTTCAAGTGAGTGTGTGTGATTTGACTAGGCAACCTCCTTACAAGAGGAATGCCATCCACTGTATGTGTATGTATATGCAATCTTTCCATCATCAGCAAACATAATGCTACCTTTCACATAATCTGGGATTTCACTTACATATTTCAGGAAAGGGGATGGATCTCAGCACAGAGCCTACTTGTTGCTGCTCTTTTTTCCTAATCAGCAATCTGATTGGATTTACGTCATGAAGTCCCTTCTCTACTAAGGGCTAGGACAGAGCCTTTTTGCGAAGGGCTTTGGCCTTGGCAGGTGTAATTGTTACCTTGAGTGAATGCCCTTTCCAACCTCAGACCGTGGAGCCCCGCAAACCCTCGACCTGACATCTCAAAGTCACGAGCGGTATCACTTGGCCACTCTTTATCCCTAATCTGACTCTCTAAATATTCACTGAATGTTGCCAGCCATGTATTCCTTCAATCTTTTTTTTTCTTTTTTTATTATGAGTGTGACACTGGGACAGGCAAAAAGTGCTCTAATTAATAAAGGCCCGGGCACAAGAAAACACTAAGACGAAGGAAAAGAAAAAGGTTAATGACAAGGCAGAGATGAGATAATATCACACAAAGGAAAAGGACAGACAGAAAAATAAGAGTCAAAGTATAGAGGACCAAGATATATGGAGGACTAGGCCTTGAGATGACGATAGATCTGCTTTTTGAAGGATGATAGGTCATAAGAATTAGGAAATATAGAAGGAGGAAGAGAGTTCCATAGTCTGGAGGTAGATGGGAAGGAGCAGTCGCTGCACCGACCAATCCGCGAGCTACAAATCTCCACACAGTATCTGTGAGATGAGGCCACTTGGGGAGTGTTCAGCGGCCTCGGCAGTGGGGCAGGGATGCAACTCGCCAACTCATCAGAGCAGCGATGGAAATAGTAGCTATAGAAAAGAGAAAGGGAAGATACCTTAAAACAAAGAGAGAGAGAATCCAGATTGGAAGTAAGAGAAGGATTATTAATGAGTCTGACTGCCTTAGATTCAACACTATCAAGGAGATAAGTATAAGAAGAAGTACACTAGATGTGTGAGCAGTATTCTAAGCAGGGATGGATAAGACCTTTATAAATTTTAAGTAGCTGTGAAGAGGAAAAGTAATGACGGAAATGAAACAAAACACCTCAATATTTTGGATGAAGATTTAGAAACTTGGATTATGTGATTCCTCCAAGATAAGTTAGAGGCTATATGGATTCATAATATGTTGACAAAATTAGGGGGGGTAAATTTCGTTAGTTCGAAGACAATAAGGTTATCGGGAGGAGAAGATGATAAAGAGATAGACAGAAACTGTCTTGGAGGCATTGAATTTAACTAAATTTTGAGTGCCCCACTCAGAACCCTCTGCAAATCGGAGTTGAGAGTAGAAGAAAAAGTGATACGAGACTGATTACGAGTAGCAGATGTAGGTTGTGAAGAAAAGGCATAGTAAATGTGAAGGGTAAAATCATCAGCAAAGGCATGAAGAAGAGAGGAAGATGGGAATAGTAGATCACTAATGAAGAGAAGGAACAGAGTAAGTGAAAGAACTGAGCCCTGTGGAACACCACTGGTAACAGAGAAAGGGCTAGATGTCGCACCATGAACAACTACAGATCTCGCTTGAGATCATGGTCTTCCCTTAAATTTCATAAGCACAACACCTTATATGATAAAATAACCTAATTATCCCCTAAGGGGGGGGGCAAGGATATCTCCTCCATGTTTTCCTGTGTGGTGTAATGATGAATACCCTTCCTAATGCTCTTCGAAGGGCGAGAACTCTTTAATGCAGAAAATACAGGTCCATGAATTCTATCTCACCAGTCACCACAAATAACACTAAAAATTAATACTGAAAAGACACTTTTAAAATCCGTTAATTTCATAAATTTAAGGAAAAGAAAATAATTCTGAATGTATGAACATTGCTCTGGCACCGTTTTCTATAAATATGTACCAATACATACAAAATCATACATATACAACAACATAAACTGCAGTGCATATTATTTGTGCTAATATACAAACATCATGCTTCTACAACCTCTACAATACTCATAAAAAGTGCAAAGCTACAATTGATGTTAGTAAGGATAATATTTTATTATTTAAAAAATATACTGGCCAGCTATATTGAACATCCCGACAGTTCTGTACAAATATATACATAATTGGATATACCGTACTCCTCTCTGGTATATATTAACCTCTTCACTGACAAATTTTCCCAGAAATACTTTACAATTTCATATGACTTAAGTGACAAAAAATCGAGAAGTCTAAATTTACATGTCTCACCAGTTACTGAGATACTGTAAGTGGGGTTGGCAGATATACGATTGACAGGAAATAATTGACTCTGCCTTAGGAGGGCTCTGAGACAGCTGGAAAGGATGGTAATACTTGTTCAAAGCATAATAGCATTCTGACTAGATATTTCATCCTTTGCAATAATGTCAGAAGGGCAAAAAAAACAACATATTTCATCGGTGCCAGGAAAGAGGTTAGTAATAATTGCAAAAGTGGTTGTGTGGTGGGTAAGCATCTAACTCAGCTCAATTAATGAGTTGGGAGATTTAGAGGATCAGAAAGTTTGTTTGCAGACTGAAGAGGCAGTATTATGTGAAAAGATGCAAACAAACTTTAAAGAAATATAAATTCACAAAATGAGAGTACAGCATTAAAACAGAACTGGAAATCTATCACGTACTTACTAGATATTGGATAATGCGTACTGTGCAATATATCATTTCCATTATTCTTTTTAAGATACCAAAATGCTATGTCATATAATGTATTTACAACAATCTCTTTACATAAATACCATACTGTAATTTTAGTCTAAGTCTACTATATAACCGTCACCTAGTTGAAGAGGATACTGAAGAACAGCGCAAGACTCCCACCCTCTACCCGAAGAAGAACTCTTGGAAGAAGGAGGCAATGGTGGAGGAATATTTGGTCTCTTGATTCTGGAGCCAGAAGGAGATCTCGAACCAGATTTTCTACAGACTTCAGGTATTGAATAAACAGAGGTATTACAACTAGAAGGTGCTATACAGGCACCCTGAACAATACTATCCTGACCTGATGGTAAATGATTCATTTCAGTTATATCTAAGCTGGTGCCATGTACAAGAGGATTTGGTCTGTATGGCTGAAAAGAGGATTTTGACGTCTTTGACAACGTCGAAGTGCGCGAATGGACATCAATGAACGATTCAGTCACAGAAAAGCCACTGCTTGTTCTCATTTCTCTGACCACTTCTGGAAGAATGAACTGCCAGACTGAACGGTGATTTCTTAGAAAATATGGCACACACTCTTCTGGAGTTTTGGGGCTTTGTTTATTTAATTTTTTTTGAGGCTCTGCACCAGGTTCTCCACCAATTACACTTATATAGGGACCGGCGTCGTGGCCTCTTCTTTCATCATCTTTATTTGAGTCAGTAGTATTAAGCACTTGAGGTCCAATTTGGTCATTACCATCACCAGATACGACATGCGCATGCACCGATCCATTACTGGAACTCATTCTACGTTCACTAAAATCTACTCCGATGTCATCGCTAATGCTACGTGATGTAAGTCGGGTGACCTGTACCTGACGATGGTGTAGATCCTCTTCTGAGAGCGACCTGGTAATTGGCATACGCCCTTTGATTCTTGGACCTCTGACCACAACGCAAAACAGGAACTGAGCACCAAAAAAGCTGACAACAATGCCCAAGGCAGTCATGACAGTGGTAAACCAAAAAGCTGAAAGAAAAGACCATGGCTATGTGTTATTTAAGATGAACATATAATGATAATCTTGCATACAGAAAGACATTTCTGATGATGGACAACTAACATTTCAGCATCCAAATATCTACTACAATTCTAATACACTAATGACGTCAAATATGACGACAAACAATGAACAAAAAAATAGAAAAAAGAAACTGTAAGACATGTCTTCAAAACAAGCCCAATTAATTCTCAAAGCATTTGTATTTATGAATCTACTGTAATGACACCATAATAAAACAGACAAACCTATTTTCATAGTGACGTCCTGATTTTTCTCTACAATCAACCTTCGATCACTCTGGGTGAGAAAAACTCGATACTCTCCCACCTGGAAACATATACAAAATCAATTATGGAAGATGATTCGTGTACCTGTAGGGAATATTAATTCTATATATATTACCCAGTAAAATATATATATATATATATATATATATATATATATATATATATATATATATATATATATATATATATATATATATATATATATGTATGTTCCGGTTCCGGTTCCGGTTGTTCCGGTTTTACGTCACGGACTCCCTTATCAACCAAGGGCTAGGACGGTTGCCTTCTTGCGAAGGACTTGTTTTGGCAGATGTAATCCTTACGCTGAGTGCATGCCTTTGCTAACCTCAGACCGTGACGGGGCGCGAACCCTCGACCTGACTCCTCAGAGTCGGAGACGCTACCGACTGAGCCACGGCGTATGTATGTATGTATATATGTATGTATGTATGTATGTATGTATGTATGTATGTATGTATGTATGTATGTATGTATGTATGTATGTATGTATGTATGCATGCATGCATGCATGCATGCATGCATGCATGCATGTATGTATGTATGTATGTATGTATGTATGTATGTATGTATGTATGTATGTATGTATGTATGTATGTATGCATGCATGCATGCATGCATATATATATATATATATATATATATATATATATATATATATATATATATATATATATATATATATA